AACCTGGGCCGCACGCATGCCAGGCAAGCGCGCTACCGCTTGAGCCACATCCCCAGCCCCTAGGCCTAGTTCTTCTTCATGGCAGAGAGGTTACCCTACAGGGCCTTTCCAATGATTGCCACCCGAGTTCCTGGATCTGAATGCTACTTTTTAAGTCACATATAAATATATCACAGTAACACTAGAAATTTCAGTACTAACAATAAGGGAATGGTTTAAAAGGCCATAGTCATTCTCAGTAACCACTGAGGATTAGTACCAGGATCCCCACCCCTCCACCCATTATACTAAAATTTGTGGATGCTCAAGTATCTTATGTAAAATGGCACAGTATTTACATTTCATTCTATATAAGTTAAATCATGTCTAGAAAAATCATAATGTTAATATAAATTTTATATAAATTATTATATAAGTTGTTATTCTGTATTATTTACAGAATAAGGACAAAAAATAGTCTGTATATATTTAGTAGAGAGACAATTTTTTTTTTTGGAAGTGCTGGGGATCAAACCCAATCTACTTACCCACCTATATTTTGATACTGGGGATTGAACCCAGGGGCATTCCATCACTGAGCTACATCCCCAGTCTTTTTTATTTTGACACAGGTCTTGCTAAGTTGCTGAGAGTCTTACTAAGTTGCTCAGGTTGACCTTGAACTTGAAATCCTCCTTAGCTGCTAAGATTGCAGGTGCCTACCAGTGTGCCCAGCTGTTTTTCCTATGTATTTTTTTGTGTGTGTGGGGAGGGCCTTACTGGGGATTGAACTCAGGGGCATTTGACCTCTGAGCCACATACCCAGCCCTTTTATGTATTTTATTTAGAGATAGGGTCTCACTGAGTTGCTTAGCACCTCACTTTTGAACTTTTTTTTTTATAAATACCTTAATTTAATTAATTAATTTATTTTTAAAGAGAGAGAGAGAGAGAATTTTTTAATATTTCTTTCTTAGTTTTCGGCGGACACAACATCTTTGTTTTTGTATGTGGTGCTGAGGATCGAACCCGGGCTGCATGCATGCCAGGCAAGCGCGCTACAGCTTGAGCCACATCCCCGCTTTTGAACTCTTGATCCTCCTGTCTCAGCCTCCCAAACCACTGGGATTACATGTAGGTACCACCAGGCCTGCCCCTATGTATCTATTTATTTATTTATTTTAGTTGTTGATGGACCTTTATTTCACTCATTTATTTATTTTTATGTGGTGCCGAGAATCAAATCCAGTGCCTCACACATGCTATGCAAGCACTCTACAACTGAGCCACAACCCAGCCCCTCCTATATATTTTTGATCTATGGTTTATGAAATCCACAGATGTAGAACCCACAGGTATGTTCAGCAAACTCTACATTCATATAATGGACCATTATGCAGCCACGCAGTCATTATAATTTTGCTTTTTTTTAACCCCCTGCCCCAGTACTAGGGATTGAACCCAGGTCCTCAAGGGCAAAGCTACAACTCTAGCCCTTTTAATGTTTTCATTTTGAGGTAGGGTCTCACTAAGTTGCTCAGGCTGGCGATCCTCTTGCTTCAGTCTCCTGAGTTGCTGAGATTACAGGCATAAACCACTATATCCAGCTACAAATTTCAAACAAAAGACTATGAGTGACAGGGAAAATGGTCTCTATTTGCTGAAGAAAAATGAGCAATTTAATAATTAGTAATCATAGGATCTAAATTTTGTGTAAAAAATATGTCTGGAAACTGGATGTGGTGGCACACACTTGTAATCCCAGCAGCTCGGGAGGCTAATATAGGAGGATTGTGAGTTCAAGGCCAGCTTCAGCAAAAGCGAGGCGCTAAGCAACTCAGTGAGACCCTATCTAAAATACAAAATGGGGCTGGGGATGTGGCTCAGTGGTCAAGTGCCTCTGAGTTCAATCCCCAGTACCAAAAAAAAAAAAAAAAAAAATGTCTCTGAAGATTCTAAAAGCTCACGCATGCTAATTGACTGCCAGGTCATGCTGGACAACACTGACACTCACCCCCCAACTTCATCCTTTCACTGGTTAATCTGAGAAATGAAGGAGGGACACAAAGCTCTAATACACCCCCACCCCTGGGCCTATTGCACAAGTCTTAATCCACCTTAGGGCCCAAATTCCAGCTTCTATCAAGACTGCACTCACCAGTTCTGCAATATGGGTAGGCATTCCATGCTTTTTCATGTATATTCAGTGCTCCCTCTGGGGCCAGCATTCGAACAAATGTGGGTACCTTGCTATAGTGAAAAAAAGGGGGGGTGATAAAGAGAAATGGAGGAGAAGAAAAAGAAGACAAGGGGCTTTTATATCACATTCTTCAAGTCACAGGATAAGCTTCTTCAATGGAGAGTCGACAAGCAAATTTCCTTGAGATAAGCAGGTTTACTAGTGTATGTGAGAAGCTTCTGCCAGACCCTGACACCCCAGCTTGATTAGCTACCAATACCACCCAAAACTTGCCCCAGCACCCACCAGGAAAACGACAGCATATGAAACCTTAGGCTAACTGCTGTGGTTTATCAGCCATTACATTCTCATTCCACAGTTTTCCATTACATTTTTTACTGGTCCAGGGCATTGTTCTATACTACGTGTAAGGATAAGATACAAAGGAGATAAATCCACATGTAAACTACCTATGTTGGACTGAACCTACCAGTCTAGGTTAATGGGTCAGGGTGACTAGCTGACTAATTTAAGAATATGATATCCAAGATAATCTAGTCTATTTTGTAAGCTTTTTAAAATTTTTTGGTACTGGGGATTGAACTCAGGGGCGCTCGACCACTGAGTCATATCCCCTGCCCTATTTTGCATTTTACTTAGATACAGGGTCTCACTGAGTTGTTTAGTGCCTTGCTTTTGCTGAAGCTGGCTTTGAACTCAAAATTCTCCTGCCTCAGCCTCCCAAACTGCTGGATTATAGGCATGTGCCACAACGCCCAGAAATTATTTTGTAAGTTTTTATTTTTCCTTTTTTCAGTATTGAACCCAGGAGTGTTCTACCACTAAGTTATATCCCCAGCCCTTTTTTATTCTGAGTATTGTTAAGTTGCCAAGGCTGGTCTCAAACTTGAGATTCTCCTGCCTCAGCCTCCTGAATCACTGGATTACAGACATGTGCTACCATTTGCAGTTTAGTTTTGTAAGTTCCAAGAGGACAGGTGGGTCTTAGGGTTGTCTACCTCCCAAGACAAATATCTTCTATTCAATTTTCCTTTCAGGATGCAGAACATGAACTCAAATTTTGTTTTATAAAAAGGTACACGTGGGCTGGGGTTGTGGCTTAAGTGGTAGAGCGCTCGCCTGGCATGCGTGCGGCCTGGGTTCGATCCTCAGCACCACATACAAACAAAGATGTTGTGTCCG